ATTATTCCAGGTTGAAATCAGGAGCCAGGAATTCTCTGGTGTCCAAAATGAGCGAAGGTCCCAAAACCTTAGACCATTCTTGTCTGTTTTCCGAAACACATTAGCATAGAAACAGATAAAAAATGTAGCAGCCAGGACTTGAAACCGGTGCCCAGATTGGATGCTAATTCCACAGACACCTACTTGATCTGCTGTATCTCTTAGACGTGATTTTATATAGACTTGTTATACAAAATGATTGTTTGCCATTACACTAAGTAAAAAATTCAATGTATTATTTTTTGATGCATTCTAAATTGGTTATCATTCCTTTTGTAACTTAAAGCACCAGAATGCTATTTTCTTACAGTTGTGGAAATGAGAAATCTAAAGTCAAAATCTTGGCAGGGCTATGCTCCCACAAAGATTCTAAGAAATTATCCATTACTGCCTTACTCAGGTTCTAGTAGTTGTCAATACTGCTTGATTGTGGATACATCACTCGGATCTCAGCCACCACTGCCTCATTGCTTCCTCCCCTTCTGTGAGTGAGATTTCCCTTCATCTTTCTCTTACAAGATCATTGGTGAAGACATTTCCAAACCCAGAAGGATTAACTAGAAAAGCTCATCAAATGAAATTTAATTTAAACACATCTGCAAAAGTCAATTTTCTAAATTGTATAACATTTATAGGTTTCAGGGATTAAGTTCTCTTTGGGGGCAAACTGCCAATCTAGCCCCATCCACTCTCTGGCATCCAAAGATACACATTCACCTGCATGGATAATATATTCACTCCATCCTAACACCCTCAATACTAACCTCCTAACATCCATTACATTATAAAGTTCAAGTTTCTGTCTAAATAATACCATCTTAAATGTCCAAAGTCTCATTAGCTACACTGATGTAGGTATGTGTATGATTCATTGTGGGATCATTTGTTTTCATTTCATTGCGAACCTATAAATAAGTTATCCATTTCCTAAGTACACTGCTGGAAGAAGATAGAATAGTAGTCACAGGTATTGCTATTCAGAAAGGAGAAAAATGTAGAGGTAAAAAGCATTATTGTTCCTTACCAATATTGAAATCTGGAAAATTGGATTCCATTAGGTTTGAAGGCCTAGGAGTATCTCTCTAGGCTTTTGACGTTAGGGTGACCTCTGATGCTAAAACTTGACCGAATCTCTTTTCTATGTTAAACCTCTAAATGACTGTAAATACTGTCAGATTCAGTCCAGACAGCACAAACATACTAGTCTTTCTTGATTTGGTCTCCTCGCCCCTATGAAATTGCCTCATATAGCTCTGTCCTTTCCCCTACAAGTACTACACAGAGCCAACACCAGCTTATTCCAGGGTATTATGTTCTCTGTTTTGGAATTGGCTGCACACCCTTGCTAGGTCAAAAACTAGCCAATGTCCATTTACCTTCCAGATTTCGACTGAGAGATCAATACGTGTGTGATTGCACCCTACCCACTTTAAGTAGGTAAACATTCTGATAGGTAATTACACCTCATTTTAAGAGAAGTAGGCGTCCCTCTCATTGATGCTCTCAAACTCAACCAGAGTGACACACATCTTCCATTTCTCAAGCCCACACCAAAAACATTCATCTTGTGTTATCGTCTACTGAATCATATGGCCTTTCAAAGGTACAGCCACTAATATATTAATCTTCATATTCACTCTCACTAGGATAATTTACTGTGACAGAGAACCCTCAATGAATGCCTGTTGAATGAGTGACTACAATAATATTAACTTTAAATCCTGTGACACATCATTGAAACCAATTATAATAAATTTACTCAGTGTTAGAAGTGGGTTTACAGTTACTTGAATTGAAGTTAATTGAATTTGCCACTTATAAAATAAATTACTTTTAGAACTGATTAATGCCAGGCTTTAAAATTCAAAATATTGTCACACAAGCAGGGTGCTATCTTAAAGCAATGTAATCATTCCTCATTGAAATGCAGGTTTTACCCTCAATTTGAAGTCCAGGAGTCAGTTTATGTGAGTATATAGCACTCTGCCTAACATTCTTCAGGGATGAACCATTATCAGTCTGCATCCACTGTCTTTAATTGGTGTTTAAGTGTTTTTCTAAGAGCTTGGTTGCGTCCAACCTGAGCTCCATTAATCTTCTTGGCTGCCACATTACAGAATAAATAAAATGAAGCATTTGTTGCTTTCATGGGATCAAATTATTCATTATAAAATCTTAGAAACTACATTCACATATAATGAGAAAAAGCATTTTTGCACTACAAAACACATAAATTTTGGAGCTTTTTTCTCCATTTGAAATATTTTCCACAAATAGCAATGAGTAATCTTCATATTGTATTTCTAGCAACCAAGTTTTCCATTACTGTCAAAATACAAAATAGTTTACAGTGATGTACCTTCAGGAAGAGAATACAGATCAAACATTGTGTACAGAGAACGTCAGCATATTTTAGAAGCTTAATACAGTCATTGTTTTCCTGACGCACTGTGTTTCCTGGCATAGGAAATCTGACTTCCTCTTCACCATTCATTAGGACAGACCAGATGTGGGTAAAACAAGATAACTGTGTGGTATACTGTATTGCCTGTCCTGCCTTGCCCAAAATGGAAGCTACAGTAGAAGAGGTGAAATCTCACTCAGTAACTCCGAGTTTTCTACCTTCCATGCTCAGGAGGGAAGGGGCACCTAAATGACCTCCACCACTCCAACCACGTTATTCTCTGTCTCATCCCTGGTCTCTGAGTAGGCTGCATGGCTTCATTATGTAGTCTTGTTTCACTCACCACCCACTCTGACAATTATGGGAAAGTGATGAATCTTGGCATGAAGGAAAAAAGAAACAGAAAATTAAAATCTGAAGGGCCATGCTGCCTGGGATGGAGCTTTATTCAGTGCCAAAGCTCTAAAGAGTGAGCAGGCTAGTACCAACCACAAATCAATGTCTTGTGCTTGGAGTGAGGAGCAAGGAGCCTTAGGGTAGCAAAACACATCCAAAGCATTCCTCATTTCCTATTTACTACTCTTCTCCCTTCTTTGGATTTATTAATATTGCAACAGTGTAATTTTCAAAGTAAAGATATGTTTCTTATATTGCATAGACTCAGTGGCCAGTCTGCCCTTCATAAGATTATTTTAAACAGAAAATGGGTTACAGATTTCCAATAACTGGCTCACAGATGAGAACACAGGTAATAATTTGTGATCTGGATTTCTCTAATCTTCATCGTCTTTCCTTTCCCACTTTCTCTTTTGTCTCTCTGCTCTCTCATTCACACCTACACATACTCACACACTTCATATTCTTTCTAAAATATGAGCATAAACAGTCATACCAAGTACCATATCCAGTTTCCAAGAATTCTTATCAAACAATAATGGTTTTTGATAAGATCTACTGAGCTCATGCTATTCCTGCTGAAGTCTCTCCATTACTGTTCTCATCATCCAAGTTGATGCCTTCAGCTCCTTTGAGGTTCTGTCAAAGGGGCCCACTAACTAATATTATACTTTCTGCTATTTTTCTTTCTCTTTCATTGTACACACATTAGTTGCTCATTAACTGCCTCTAAATCACTCCTTTTCATCAAGTTATTCTTTTCCCCTTTCATAAAAGTTAAATTGCAAGTGAATAACATTTACTTTCAAAATTGATAGTCAGTAAGCTCTAGGTCCAGGTCCCAACTACATTTCTAATTTTTCTTTCTTTCTGCCACCCCAGGAAACATTAATTGCAACCTCCTGACCTCATTAAGATAATTTCATTTATTCATGAGTTGAGAAATTATTCACTGATTTCTTCTGTGTGCATCTATTCTTGTTCTCTGTGCCTTCTTTTCAGTCACAGACAACCTTTCATGACCAAATCTAGTTGCAAGTCCTTGGTAAAATTTATCAATCACTGCAAGACATCTGGCTTCCTACACTCTTCTAGAATTTAGGATTTTCTAATGCATTAAGTCGATGTTGTCTCATATTTCCAGGCTTCTTCTGACGTATACCTTAGGTAACTCTATCAATTAAGCTTACTCAGAGTCTATACTATCCAGATGAAAACAAAGGTATTCTGAAATATTAAGTGCAGCACTTACGGATTAAGAAAGAACACTATGGTGATAATCATTTGTATCAGTTTTTTCTAAATGAGATTATAAACTCCTTGAAGTAGGCAGCTATATTTAGAACTTGTCCCAATGCATACCAGCCATAAAAGAATTCAGTGAATGCTTGTTTGAGCAATGTTAAGGGTAATTCAATCTCTTGATACCATTTAAGAAGACTCGGTGACACCTCTTTTCCTAGTATGTCAAACATTTCGATTCTGAATTCTCGATTGAACACTTCATAATATATTGTAATATCTTAGATATTATTATGAAGTAATATCTAAGATATTACTTCACTTCGTGACCTAGTCCTCCCCCAAACACATCCACACCAAAACAAATTGTAAATTCTCTGGGGACAGTTAGCTTTCAAGAATAAAAGAAGATATGGTATTTAAGGGTTGGTAGTGAATTACAGGTTAAAGGTAGGTCAAAACTGTATTTTTAAAATTTACCTTGAGAATCATCTGGGATACTTGATTTAAAAAACAACAGATGTCTAAGATTCCAATTCAGTATTTCTTAATCATATGTTTCTCAATATATTTATTCAATAAATTCTCCAAGAGATCATCCTATATAACTACAGACTAGTGGCAAAGTGAAATTGATTCAAGGCTGAACAACAAACCATGACTTTTGTGCTAATCACTTATGTGTTTGGGTGTGTGTTCTTGTGATTGAGATTAACATTGCATGCAAAAATTCTTTCTGGTTTGTAAGAAAGAGTTCAATATTTCAGCATTTCATGACATTCCAGAAAAAAAAGGGCCTACAACATCTAAACTGTGAAATACACTGAGCAAGAGAAAAGTCATCTGGAAGAACTTAAGCAGTGAAAAGATTCCATGAAGGGATAAGAACTTTATAGAGCGAAACTGAGGAGATACTTACAGGCTCTCCCCGGGGTCCATCTTGCCCTGGAGAACCTGGGGGTCCTACTTCTCCCTTTAATGACAAGAAAATACAGAGAATTTAACTTCTGCTTTTCTTACTAAGATAATTGTATATCTTTTAGCAACACATAGAAGAGCACTCTAGATATAGTTAAAAAAAATTCTTCTGGAATATTGAGATTAACTTTCCTTGACACAATGAAATAACCTTTTAAAAAATAAATGGAATGAACAAAATTAACTTCAAAAATCCATATCTTATGGTACCCAATTCCACTTTTGTAAAATAACTGTGGAACTTCAGATTCATTCTTATCAAAATAGAACATTCATATTCAGAGTAAATATGACCAACACTTGTAAACCCTTTCAATCATTTTTATTTTCATTTTTGCTTAAAACTTGATCATCCTACTGGATCTGACATTACTTTTGAACAGTTTCCTACTAAAATCAAAATAAAGCTTTCATTAAAAGTGGGTCATTGCGACATAGCACGCAGAGCTGCTACCTGAGATGTAGGCCTCTCATAAGAGCACTTGTTTCACTTCTGATCCAACCCCCTGCTAATGACCTAGGAAAGCAGTGAAAGATGGCCTAAGTGACTGAGTCCCTGATATCTACATGGAAGATCCAGAAGAAACACATCTATTTTGGCTTAGGCCCTGACTGCTCCTGGCTTCATCTGATCTACCTCCAGCCATTGTGGCCATTTGTGAAGTTAACCAGAGGAGAAAGATACCTCCTTCTTCTCCCCAACCCATAATTCTTTGAAACAAATACATAAATACATCTTTAAAGATACAAGCAAAAATTTGTTAGGCAACCTAAAATTTTAATTGCTTTCCTTTATAGACCATTAATTACTATGTTAAAATTATGTACATCTTATTTTATATGTGTCTTCTGATAAGCTAAAATATTTTCTGCAAAACAAAATAATTTGGTGTATATAAAAGGACCTGACCCTTTACACTTTAAAACAATAAACTGTTGCCGCATAAAATCCTAAAATATATAAAATCACAGATAAGACAACTACTAAGGCATGCAAACAAAATAACCGGGACTAGGAGGAAACAGCTTGCAACACATAGACACAAACTCAAACACAGAGACCTTTTGAAACCAATCAGGTTAAATGCCATCATTCTGTTTGTGTTTGAAAACTGGGGTATCACAGTGATGAGAATTCGCTGAAAGCCATCGTGACACTTTCATTTCATACCACAGAGAACACTACATCCTAGTTTTGAGCAAGACATAAATGTCTTCAACTACCTGAGCTGAAATATATGTAAGGGGGGAACAATGTCAGAACATATGTGCTAAAACATTCTCCAACACTGTTTTCATACTTGTGTTTCTAATAAATTTGCTCAAATTGTAGAAAATACAAAAACATAATCAGCATTTAGAACTCAATCACCTTATAAAACTGAACTGTTTTATGATTTCTTACATTTTTATTACAATGAAAATGACAACTAAAGTCAAATATTCCAATTATTGCAGTTTTAGTTATGAACACTAGATGACCAGAGGAAGTAGTAATATTTTCTGGTAAATTAACCAAATTTAGTATAGAAGGTATTATGGAGCCAATGGCTCCAAAGAAAACCTTCATGTGTTCTGGAAAATAAAAACAGAAAAGTGTTCTTTTTTTTGCAGTGGATACTATTTTCTTTTTAAAATTGCTATTATTATTTTCCATGATACAGTTTTGCAAGTATAGAGATTCTTCATTTCTGCTTTCCTATCTCCCCACCTCTCACCAACTTTCTCCATATTGTCACAACAGTACAGTACTTTAGTAACAGCTATAGGTTTAACATTCTGCTGTTTAAGTGTATTATGACATCGTACATAGAGTAAAAAGTGGAAAATCTAGTATACTGCCAGATTTTGTCTATTATTGAAAGGTACAGTACGATCAATACTGAAAAATCAGTTAAAATAAGTATAGAGGTCCTAAATACTACACAAAAATAATGCAGCATATGTGTCTGAATTCAACACTCCTATCAATAGTCAAGGAAAATTTTTCAGAGTGTAGTACAAGTTAAGCCACCACTTGCAACACTGGCATCCCAATTCAGAGCTAAAGTTGAAGTCCTTGGGTTCTTCTGTTCTATCTCTAATCAAACTCCCTATTGACGTTCCTGGAAAAGCAGCAGCAGATGTCCCAAGTATTTGGTCCTCTAAAACACATGTGGGAGACCTAGATGGAATTCCTGGTTTATGGTTGTTGTGGACATCTGGGGAATAAACCAGGAAATGGGATCTCTCTCTTCCTCCCTCCCTCCCTTCCTCCTTCCCTCTCTTTCACTCTCTGCTTATCTCTCTCTCTCTCTCTCTCTCTCTCTCTCTCTCTCTGACTCTCAAATAACTTAAATCTTTTATTGAAAAAAAAAGTGAAATGGAGCAGGTGGGAATCTTCCAACTGTCACAGGATGCTAAAATATGGTCCTCAAACCATCTTATCCACTTCACATGGAAAACTTGAAATGCAAAATTTCCGGTGGACTTCACTGTGTTTTTAACTTCTGTGAGGAACTTTTTTCTAAGATTTCACATATGAGTGTGATCGCCTGATACTTGTCTTTCTGTTTGAATTTTTTCACTTAATATAATCAGCTCCTGTGTATTCCTTTCTGCTGCAAATAACAAAATGTCATCTTTTTTGGCTGGATAGTATTATTACATTATGTATATTACCACATTTTCTTTATTTATTCGTTAGTGGATAGACAATTCATATGTTTCCAGGAATAGGTGGGGAAAGATTTATTAATGGGTGCTAGAATATAGATGTATAGGGATATGAAGTTTTGATATTATGTTGTACAGTGAAGTGGCTATAGATGTTAATGCGTTGCATATTTCTCTATAAAAATACTGTAAGGATAGGACTTTTACTGTTTTGCCATAAAGAAATGTTAAATACATGAAGAGATAAATGAATTCACCTTAATTAAATATTCCTTAATGTATGTATGTAGTGAAATATCATAGAAGTATATAAAGGTGATTGATTTTCATGCTTAAAATTTAAAAATTAAATAAAAATAACCTTGTAAAGATAAAATATAATTCCCACATATAAGAGAGGAGAAGATACAAGCTGTAGCTTTCTTAACAACTTGCTACATAATTCTGATGCAGCTATTTGAGATCCATAGCATGGCATAAACCACTTAACTTTCCCTATCTCCAGGTAATGTATTATGGAAATCATCAGCTAAATTTGAATGTTAGAATTTCTGTATACAAAATAAAGTGGGCCAATTGTTACAAAGTAGAAGGAATTAATTTGAGAAGACATGAATACCTTGATTTGTAAGGCTCTGTTGTTCTACTCCTCTGTCCCTGGACCTTAAGATTTATTCTTTTTTATAACACGCAGAAGGTGTTCAAGTAACAAGGCATCAGCATAGTTTATCAATTGTGAAGTGACACAACTACCTGATTTAATGTATTCTCATTTTTCCTATTTCTTGTTAGGATCATTAACCAGATAATATAGACTTAAGTGAACATAGTACTACCCATTCATTACCTTTCTTGTAATCTATAGCAGTGATTCCCACACTTTAGATTTAACAGAATCTTCTGGAGAGTTTGTCAATTGGCAAACTGCAGCCCCTATGTGGGTTCCTGATTCAAACAGTCTAAAGTTGCCCCTAAGAATATGTATTTACATGAAGTGCCACTGAAGTTCTTGGGACCACATTTTAAGAACCACTATTCCAGCCAAGATGTCAATATAAAGACTTAGAGAAAATCTTTTCATTCATATGAATCCCTTATTCTATAATTATAAAAACATTGCATAGCTTTATACTTGGTAGTGACTTGTATGATGGTTAGGTTATTTGACAGGTATCCTGTTTCTACAAATGTTGTATTCCTGAACTCTACATTCTTTAATCATTCTTTAGATCATGCACTAAACTTAGAATCAAAAATAACGTAAAACAATATATCCCTTCTTTAACTTCACTGGAGAATACTAAGAAATAAGAGAAAGAAAATGAGGAAACTATTAATGGACAATGCTATAAGCATTTGTTATTGCAGCATTATACATGCTAACTTTTACAAGGTGATGGCCAGTAATCTTATAAAAGGCTCTACTCATTTTTAAAACAATATACTTCTAGAATGGTTCATTAGAAAATGAAAGGATAATTTCTGCATGCTTATGTTTCACCTAAAAAAGCCAAATGCAAAACAAACCAGCTTTCAAAATCCTATGCTGTAAACATAATCTTAATATTTGATCACTTTCAAAACCTGGAGAACCTGGTACAGGTAATTTTGTTTGGTTTATGGGAAAAGCATATAATATGACTTCATCTCTAATCATTTTGTTATTCTGTTAATTTCTTTCTTTATGCAAAGCAATTGAGAGAATTTCATGTTGAACACTATCCTTTATACAGTTTCTACAGATGTCAAATATGATTTAATTCACAAGAAACCAGTTAGCTTTTAAAAGGAAATTTAACCAAAAACAGATATGTGAAACTTGTACTGCATCTAAAAATGTTTTCATGCTGTGGTCTTTGGTACTTGTCCACTAGAAAGAAAAGGATTTAGTTTGTGGTCATAGCAATCTTCAAAAATCAGGTGGAACATATGTCTTATTGGCTACGAAAGTATCATTTAATCTTCATGAAGACACTTTCTTTGTTAGTAAAGAAGTACTTTAGTTTGACTTTGATCTCACCGCACAGTTTATTCTGAGTATGTAAACAACTATCTCACATGCCAGAGAATGTACAAAAGATGTCAGGCTGAGAACATGCTTTGGGTTGACTAAGTCAAGACATTCGGAAAGCATCAGGCACAGAGGTGAATCACCCTCAACAGGTCTGGAATTCTTGGCCATCTCTAGCATCCAACTACATATGTTGGCAAGATATTTTAATTTCTGTGAGCCTGAGCCTACAGATAAACTATCATTAATACCAAAAGCCTCAGAGATTTATTTCAAGGAAAACACAACCAGTTTTGGAAAGGGACCTCCACATCTCCAGTCACAGCCAG